TTTTCTGAAGTTTCTACATAAAAAATCACATATTTATCTGTATGTGAGATTTTCATGCAATTTAAGATAATAAATTCTCTCTCTACAATCATTAATGTTCTACCACTGAACATATATTACTATACTCCCCAAACAAAAGTCACATAAAAATAGGATGGGGCTTTGCACCACTTTGGCACTTGGTTTGTTTAAGTTTTCAATTAAAGTACAAAGAAGTTTAAGTATTTATTAACATGAAGCTCATTCTTTTCTTTTGTCTAAATTTATTTGAAGTGAGGAGTTTTGTTATATGAATTTTATGTCATAAAATTTTGGATCCAGAAAAAATTGTGAACCGTAAATCCATAGAATTTTCTTCAAATGAAATCTGACTTTCTCACAAGATTAAATCTTTGATATCTTTCCCACCATACGACAAAATAATTAATCAAAAGCCGTCTTCAATCAAGTTCTCATTGTATTAGACCAAAAAAGACATTTACATCAATATAATATTGTTGCGGGCTAGAATATACGCGGCGATAGAGTTGTAATTATGTGTCTTAGTGTTGCACGGATATCCAACTCACACACAGAGAACACAATATTTTTTACGTGAAAAATCCGGGAAAGAAAAAAACCACGGGGTCTAGCCCAGTTGAAAATGATTATACTAGAGTTTGAGCAAAGTACAATGGTCCGACTCGTCCTTGAAGATGAATAGATTACAAATGTCAAAGTGTCACTCCAACATTAGGTGGTAGTGCAGTAGCACTCCAGGATAAAGCGGTGGTCCGTTAGTGGCACTTCAATGTCACGGAGCACTCCAGCTTCAGGTGGCGCTTCAACATCCTTTGATTGTCTGGTGGTGATTTGACAAAACTACGACGTCCCTTGGTGGTCCGACGGTGGTGTGGCAGAACTCTGTCGTCCCTTGGTGGTCCGGCGGTGGTGCGGCAGAACTCAGACAGTGGTGCAGCAGAACTCCGGTGTCCCTTGGTGTTTCGACGGTTGTGCGACAGAACTCCGGCAGTGGTGCGGCAGACTCCGGCGTCCCTTGGTGGTCCAGCAGTGGTGCGTCAGAACTCCGGCGGTGGTGAGGCAGAATTCCGGCGATGGTGTGGCAGAACTCTGGCGTCCCTTGGTGGTCCGGCAGAACTCCGGCGATGGTGCGGCATAATTCCAGCGGTGGTGCGGCAGAACTCCGACATCCCTTGGTGGTTCGGTGATGGTGCGGCAGAACTCCGGCAGTGGTTCGTCAGAATTCCATTGGTGGTGCAGTAGAACTTCGGTGTCCCTTGGTGGTCCGGTGGTGGTGTGACGGAATTCCGACGATGGTCGAAGAGGAGCTATAGGCTGCTGGAGATTTCTTCCTTCTTCTCTCTCGACTCTTCACCCCTTTTCAAGAGGAAATGGGGTTTTATTTATAGAATTCTTGAGTGGCATGAATTGTAAATAAGTGGAAGATCAAGGGTAAATTATTACTGGTTCGGATAGACGCCGATCTTAATTCCTACAATCATGCACCGTTCAATGGACCTTTGACTATCTTAATGATATCAAAATTTGATGATATTGGGCTTGTTGGATTAGACTCGTCGATCCGCTCGATTCGATTATAAGCATGCCACGATTGAGGATTCTTTGGTAACACAAATTGTGATATGATCATTCCAAAAGTGCTTCGAGTCTTTGATTTGGACTCATTTGGGCTCGGATTGGGTCGATTTTGGTGTTGTTGGGTTTGTGTTTTTGAGACGCTCAGTTTGACTATAGGTTTGCTAAAATCGGAATTCAAATGATCTCCGATTCAATTTTTGAAGTTTCCAACTTGATCCTGCCTTGAGATTCGTGCTCGATCAAGGTAATTTTTTTATAATATATCAAATATAAATATTGGTTTGTTTATGGCCATTAAGCTTCGTTTTTTATAATAATGACAGCAAAATGATTCCTAAGTTAATCATATGAAAGAGTGTAATCAAAATAAATAAAAAACTTGTATTATGTGCTTTTCTCGCCCTTTCTATTTATAAAACACTTCAACAAAAAAATAATATTCATTAAAACATAAAACAGTAATTTAATTTCATAAAAAAAGCTTAACTAGCCATAAAAAAATGAACATTGTTGCATCCTGGAATATTCACGACGATAGAGAGATATATAATTTTTAATGTTAATTTTGTACGAAGATCCAGCACAAAATAGATAAAAGATGGAGGTATAAAACAAATAAAAGATGGAGGTATGCAATGTTCATATGAGAGACCAGAGTTTTTATATAGAAACCCCTAAAAGAGGGAAAATCACGGGGCTTACTCAGTTTAAATGAATCCACTAGTGTTTACAGTTGATTACAAATGAGGCCCTTTCTTGAGGGGAAGGTCTTGACTCGTTGTAGCAAATATACATCATATAGAGTACATTACATGTAGGGAGTTGGAAGAATAAGTGTTGGCATGTTCGTTTGGTCGACAAGACCATGTTCGACGAGCCATGTTGGTTAGAAGGGTTGTAGTCTAGAGACGGTGGTCGGAGAGATCATAGCCGGCGGGCGACGGAGGTCGACAAGATCGTGGTCTACAAGCGATAGTGGTTGGAGTGACCATAGTCGGCGGCGCGAGGGTGGTCGGAGTAGTCCGTAGTTGGGCGACGGTGGTTCGAAGGACTGTATGTAGTTGGGGTGACAGTGGTTGGAAGGATTGTAGTCTGGAGATGGTGGTCGGATAAACCATAGTCGGCGGGCGATGGAGGTCGGTAAGACTGTAGTCGGCGACAACGATGGTCAAAGTGACCATAGTCAGCAAGCGATAGTAGTCGAAAGTATCGTAGTAGGGTGACGGTGGTCGGGGAGACTGTAATCTAGAGACGGTGGTCGGAGTCTCAAAGATACCATAGACGGAAAGAGACATAGGTCAGTATGAGATGGCAGTTGGTAGGAGATGAAGGTCAGAAGGACCGTAGTCGGACGACGGTGGTCAGGAAAACTACCGTAGTCGGACGAAGGTGGTCAGGAAAACCATAGTCTGGAAATGGTGGTCGGAGAGACCATAGTCGGCAGGCAATGAAGGTCATAAATAACGTATTTGACATGCGATGGAGGTCGAAAAGTCTGTAGTCGGGTGACGATAGTTAAGGAGATAGTAGTTGGTAGGTGACAGAGGTTAGAACGATCATAGTCAGACGATGGTGGTTTAAGAGACCATTATCTGGTGACAGCCGATGGTTGGGCAGAAGTCGATGCCCAGGTAGAATTTCGACAATGGCCAGTGGTCGGGCGAAAGTCGGACAACGGTTGGTTGTCGGGCTTAAGTTTTGAGACAGCTAGTGACTTGGTAGAAGTCTAGTGATGGCTGGTGGTCGAGCAGAAGTCCGACCATGGTCCGTGCCCAAGAAGAAGTCCAACGACAATCGGTGGTTGGACGAAAGTCCAACGACAGTCAATGGTCGGGTAGAAGTCCTCTCCTCTCTTCTTTTCTTTCCTTCCTCCTCCACTCAGTGAAGAATGATAGATCTATTTATAGTTTCTTAGAAGTGGCATGACCAAAATTTTTTTTTGATGATATATCAAACATAGTTTACAATTCATAATGGAAACTCATACTAACAAAAGTTTAACATTCATAAAAAAATTCAAATCAATAATTAAATTCTATAAGAAAGGTTTAACCATTCAATAAAAAAAAGTTTAGCATTCATAAAAAACTTCAAACAAATGGAAGCTCATACTAATAAAAATTTAACGATCACAAGAAATTCAAACTAGTAATTAAAATATAACAACTATGCTAAAAGTTTGCATGTTAGAATTTAGTTACTTAAAAATAAAATAAAATAGATCACCAACCACTCAAATGGGAAAGTTCAAGCTAATAAATGAAAGGAAGAAGGATTTTGGAGGGCTTTAGAGCAAATTTTCATGAGATGAACTTTGGAGCAAGTTTTTAAAAACTTTGACCGGATTGACCGATTTGTCTGATTCAATCGTGAGCTGGTCCTAAGGTCGGTCGAGCCTATTATAAAAATGGGGTTCACATTAAACTAGGATGAACCGATCAAAACTGCTGGTTCAACTGGAAAATCAGTGAGCTGTTTTCGGTTCAATGAATTATTTAAATAATTAGATAAATCAATTTAATATATTTAGAATAAATATTTATTAAATTTGATTTGATTTTAATTTCTTAAAATATTTATTTGTCAAAGAAATTACATCCAAGCATGCCATATGGATCCATCACTCCATGTGAATTTTTAGCTCATATAATCTCAAAAATCAATATCATTTATTATTTTATATATTATAAATATTTATTTATTTATTTACTTATTAATAATAAATAATCTAAACTTAATAATTTATAAATGTAAAATTATAATCTGAATTTAATATATAATTTATATGTATAAATTATATCTAAACATATAACATAAATTAATAATAATTTATAAATTTTATGTTAGTTAAATTTTTATTAAATTCAAAGATGTAAGACATTTAAGTTTAAAATTACATACAATATTATTAATATGCAAATTTTATTTATCTTATTGTCAAAAAATATATTATTACATGATTATTATTTCATTTAAATTTTTTTAAATAATTTTCATATTTATTACATCATTAAATTCAACCTTGATCAAATTATTGAACTCTTGAAGATCTCTTCAGATTCTATATATTTTAAGAACCTTGATTTCATAACTTAGGTGCTTATATATATATATATATATAAATAGTTAAAAAATAGTCAAATAAAAATAGTCAAATTAGAGACCTCACCTTGGTCTGTTAGTTTTGGAGTTTTGATTATTATCAAGATATTTTGAGTTTGATTCTTATGTATTTCATGTGTTTGATTTTGATTTAATTGATATAAACGTTAAAAAAAGAAACAGTCAAATTGAATTATTTTGAAAATTTCTTCCCTATCATTCCCGATTTTCCGTATGTTTTTTGGCCATAAATGCTAAATATCGTGGGAATTATCTTATATATCTTATAATAAGTTATATAGTGGTCTTTTTCGTCCTTGCTCCCTTCGTACTCGCACAGTAGCCTTTTCTTCTACTTTACCCACTTTCTTTATCGCGATCCATTCTTGGCTTTTCCCTCAGTTGGTTGGCCGAATCGGCGGGCATTGTTGTCTATTTATCGCACCTTTTACCCTCCCCGCCTTTGGATTTCTCATCGTTCTATCTGGGAGAGAGGATTTGTAGGTTGGGGAAAAAACAAAAAGGCTAAAATGACGAAGGTACCGCTGCCACCGTCGCCGACTGGGTCGGTGACCTACGAGCCTGAGCACGTCATGAACTATAGAGGTGGATCGGTGCTGGGGAAGAAGACAATTCTGAAGAGTGACCACTTCCCTGGCTGCCAAAACAAGCGCCTCACTCCGCAGATTGACGGCGCTCCCAATTACAGGCAGGTCTGGCCTCATTTCCTTATCCTCATATTCTTTGAGGTGTGCTTGGCTCTAGTTTCAGTTGCTATATTTCTGTGATCATTGTGATACGGTGGTTCATGCAGAAATCGATTTTATTTTTTAGGGTGGTGGGCAAATACATTAAAAAATAATTTAAATAAAAAAATTATACATAAGATAAAATTCAAAGCAAAGGCTTGTGTTTCATTATAATTGATAAAAATAATTACAAGCTTTATATTCTATTTTACATTTTTTGATAACATTGTATTATAATCTTATTGAGAATTAAATTGAATATATCTTTCTCAGTGTACGGTACTAAACATTTATTGAGTCATTCATCACTCATTTTATTATATAATCGTTGCTTGACAATCTTCATTTAAAAAATCTACTATAGTAGTAGCAACCGATAAAGTAAATATCAAGCTAATAAACCTATAAATTAGGGAACACACATTATCTTTCTTAGTCTTAATGATTTATCTTGCTAAATCAGCAATACTCAAAGATGAGAACTCATCGTTTGTACGCATATCAATAATGTATGTAATTAGCTAGTATTTAAGGGTCACAAGTTCAATTTAAGAAAAATCACTTGAATATAACTCCACAAGACAAATTAATTTCCTCTTATCATAAGTAGAAAATGAATTATTTGGATTTAGACATGCTATACAATAACAACTCGGTGCAGGCTTCAGAGAATCAATTATTTAGTTATTAGAATTGCATATTAATAAGTGTGTAAAATAAATCAATATGATAATTATGTAAGTTTGTTATTTCTTCACTTCTTCGTACTCGCCATCAACTAGACTTAAATATAGAGCTCATATAGAAATTTTAATTTTAAAATAATGTAAAGCATTATACTTATTCCAATAAAGTAACTTATCTATATCTCTAATCATCTGCAATTGTTATTAGGATACCTTCATTAGTTTCATTGCATTCATGATATCTTAATCTTTCATTTGCAAGACTTGTGATAACTCAAATCTCGCCAACTACTTGGTGCCTCAATGATAAGATGAAAAATTATTTTATTATGCTGAATGAATTTAAGAGTATCACTCCTCTTACATGAAGAACCCGTAATATTTATAATTCTTGAAGTGATATTAAAAAGTTGTTTTACCTGCCAAATTTTTTTATTATAGCTACTAAACACAATTAAAGTTAATGAGCAAAACAATAAATATGAAATGCCTATGGATTATTTTTAAGTATTAGTGCTTTCAAATAATGAAACTATCCTCGCATATTAGATGTCATATTATATCCTTGATCATGTATTCTATGTATGCTCAGTGAATGCTTTGTAAGTGTAGATTTAAGAGATGTATTAAGTGTGACTGCATTGGTCAATGAAACATGTTTAATATCCATAATTCTCTTAATAACTTGACTCAATTTATCCACATATCTCACAACATCAACTGATTGTTCCTTCGTGGAGGCATTATGTAACTCATCCACTAAAATTAAGAATTATATATTAGGCGTGTAAGTGAGTCAAGCTAACTCGAACTCGACTATCTAATGAGCTCGCGAGTCGAGCTTATTGTGTGTCGAGTTCGAGTAGGAGTGTCAATATTTGACCCAACCTGGATCCGACCAAAAAATTTCGGGTTTAAGCCAAACCGTTTGATAAACGAGTCGAGTTTGAGTTTGATATTCTGGCCCGTTTTTAAAATCGGATTGAGTTTGGGTTGACCTGAAAACTCAAAATTGACCTGGGTTGACCTGAAAACTCAAAATTAACCCATATTCGATTATTCGGAGGAGGTGCGAACATAGCGGAGAAGGGGCTGGCTTCGGCTGTGGTTGAGATCGCAGCTTGAGGGAGATAGAGCAAAGGCTTAAGCTGCTTGGTGAGATTGTGGCTTGAAGGAGGCAGGGTCGGTTGGCAGACCTAGCTTGGGTGTGCAAACAAAGCGTAGAAGGGGGTGGGCTTCGGCTGGGCAGTCTACAGGAGAGAGAAGTCCGATTAGTGAGCTGGGTGGTGCTGGCGAAGTCAGACGTGAGAGAGGGAGATCAGGAGCTACGAACTAAGGAGGGGGGTTTTGTGGTTCTGTCTGCTTATGACCTAGGGAGACGAAGGGAGCAGGGGCTTTGTCTGGAGGTCCACCAGATCCGAGTTGGCGGGTCAGGTCAGATCAACCCAGTAAATTGACAGGTCGGGTCCGGGTTGGAATTCTTGACCCGTTTGTAAAATCGGGTCGGGTTAGGGTCAATCCCATTTGGACTCTAGTCAATTTCGGGTTGGACCCGAACCTGACCCGAAAACCTATTTTGACACCCCTAAGTTTGAGCTATGAGCCTGTAATTGAGCTCGTTTACTAAATGAGCTCAAGTTTGAGCTCAATATGACTCAACTCGTTAGCTTGTCAAGCTATTCAATTTTAGAATATATTTTAATTTTTTTTAATATACCCTTTTCTTAAGAATTTTTTAAGATGATAAAAATTTTAGTTTCATAAATGAGTCGAGTTTGAGATTTTCAATTGAATTGAGCTCAAGATTTTTAATCGAGTCAAGCTTGAGTTTGATTTTTATACATTGAGTAGGGTTCGAGCTCAGTATGAGCTAAACGAGCTCAGCTTGATAAAGCCACTACCTGACTTGACTCGACTCGACTCATTTGCACCCCTAGTATGCATCACCAATATCATTTATGATAAAAGACAGAGTCATAACAGTTGTAACACTACAATTTTTTTTTTTTGCATATTTGGTGAAGTCAACTTCAAAAATATTAACCAATCTATCATCTATAATTTATTCAATTTTCTATATCTGATTGTCTACAAATTTTCAGCTCATTCAGCAAAAATTAATTTAATTATATTACTAGAAAGAGTCTATGTTATTACAAACCCCTTATTCATTTGATTTAATATTGTAATAGTTTTTTGGGTCCAAAACTATTTCAAAAGCATATAACTAAATCATCTACCAGATTTTTTTAGATCTTCAAAAATAAAGTCAATATATACATATAGAATTTGAAGTCCACAAAAAAATATGTTTAACATATTCTTTACTAATGCTATAAGCAAATATTAATACACAAGGCCAAACACCACAAATTAATGCAATCACAAGATGACTTCTAGATCTCGGGTTTCAATTAGATAAACATATTTTTCTACTTCAATCAAATACTATTTTTATTTTGCTTGCCAAATTCAAGAAAAAAATGTAAACATATAACTTACACGGTTCCCAAATGGCGGCATGATGCTATCAAATATTTTTGTAATTTCATTTTTATTTGAACAATAGTATATTTTATTTTCTTTTCTTTTTTTATCTATCTAATGATGGGAAAGCATCCAATGAACATGGTAGGTTGTGCATGGGGCTTGGTAGACCTTTGGTTTGCTGGCTTGATTGGTCCTTTGGCTACTGCTGGTTCACGGGTTAGTTGTTGGGGCCTTTGGTGATGAATGGAGAAGGTTGGGGTTGAGCTCATTCTCTTAGTTGCTTGAGCTGAAGTTAAGTAGCTCATTAATGTTCTAAAGGAAGCTCATTAAGAAGGATTCAATTTTGGAGTGGACTTGTCCCTTCTCCTTCCCCTTTCTTCTTGTCTCTTGGGAAATCGTGGCTATGCTTACTGTTTTTTGTGCCTTGGCTCCTTGGATTCTTGGCTGGCTGAATTCTGTGCCTTGTCCTCTTGGTTCTCACGGTGGCTGTTGGATTTCCCGAGCTGGGGGGTTTTCTCGTGGCATTTGGCGCCTTGGTTCCGTGCGGTTTCTTTGGTCCCGTGGCTGCCTCGGTTCTTCGACTGGGTTGTTTTTTTTCATGAAAAGCATTGGGAAAAATCGTGACTTGGTGCTTGCGTTCTTGTGGAAATTAATGAATGTGACTATTGGTATTCTACTATCTTGCCTATAAATATGAAAAGTTTCTGTGAAGAGGAGTTGATTATTTTGAGCAAATTTGCTATTGACCTGCGGGTTATTGGAAAAGCTTGCGAGCTTGTTCCATTCTTCTTTCTCATCTCCTCCGGAAATCTTGCGAGCTCTTTCCACGCTTCGTCTTGGCTTCTAATCTCTTTCGTCTCTCCGCAAGTGCCACTCCATCTGTATCTTTCTTCTTGAGCTTTGGTAGTGATTGTTGGTTGACTTTGAAGCATCTGTTGGAAGAATTGGACGATCTTGCAGTGGTGGACCATTGGTTTGCTAGTCCTATGCACTTATCTTATTTAACCTACAATTCGATGCATGTGAGGAACCCGCTCTGACGGTGGTCTGAAGATAGCGTTGGTTTTATTTTCTTTCTTTCTTAAAAATCTCTTCGTGCTTTCTTGTTGGATTTTGAGTGTTTTAGTTGATTACTACTATTTTAATAGAGTCTGGTTTCAGTTTTATCCATTGTTCTTTTTGTTTCAGTTTTCTTATACTTGTGCTTACATCACAACATCGTCTGACGATGCTGTTGTACGGGGAGTAGTCGGAGGTGTGGAGCAGCGACGTCTTTATCGTGGTTTCACCCGTGGGGAGAAAAGAAAAGAAGAGAGGCAGCCGACTGGCTGCGGGTTTGCACAAAAGGATGCCCGTTTGTTTGTGAAAGGGAAGGGCAAACAAAGGTTTTCGGTGGGGGGGGGTTCAAAATTGCCCCTGGTTATAAGTATTATTTTTAGGGTGGACAATAAGTGGAACATGATTCCGCCCGTGCGCTAATTTTTTTATTGTGTAGCAATTCAATCTGCTTGTGAGAAGATTGCATCGGATGTTAGGGCATTCCCGTAATGTGTGTGCTAGGAATGTAGAATGGTACTGAATTACTTTAGAGGTGTTTGTGACCTTTTTTTCAACTTAGAGCTTTGATGTAGGAAGTTGTGTGACAAGTTATGAGGAGGCTATATTTTCTCTGCTTTTGGTTGTATGGTTTTTGTTTATGATTTGGGTTATGTGGAGTAAAAGGATATTAATGCTGATTGGGTTTTCCTTTATCGTGTTTTGAAGGATTATCTTTTATGTCGGAGTAGAATTGTGTTGAATATTTTTATGCGACATAAACATGAAGTGATGGGAGGATTGTTAGCTAATAATGAAAAGTAAGATCGGACTTTTGGTCATCAAGCACACACTATAAATCTTCCTTTAAGCAGATGTCGTCTATTACATAAAGAAATATCGTGAACTACTTGGGGGTACATAAAACTCCTGCCTGAGCACCCTACACTAATCCTAGGAAGGTTGAAATAACATGCAGCGTGTTTTTATTTCTTTTTTTTATCTGTTAGTATAAAAAGCAGATTGATACTTATCTTTGATCAATGATTTCCACAACTCATGCAAAGAGACAAAAGTTTATTCCTATGGGCTTCATTTTAGGCAAAGTATATTATCTCTGTTGATATTAATCGAAGCAATACTTCATATCTCGAATTTGGTAGACAAGTAAATAGTTTGGAAAAATATCAGAATTAGTTCCTGTAATAAAGTTTTAATGTTAATATTTATAATATATGCCAATATTCATAGGATAAATCTTTCCTTTTATTAATTTGAATGAATAAGTAGAGATTTTGGACGTTAATTACAAAGCAGAAAATCTTAAATGAAAACTCACATTTTGCTCACAGTTGAGGGAACTCCTCCAACTTAAATCATATAGTATATTTGCCCGTTTCTTCGTCGATGAATCAATTTAGTGCAGATTATGTTCATTTACAATAGAAAAAGCAATTGATAGTAGAATTTAGACCTGACGTGTCTTTTGAATTGGAGAAGATTAGGAGGAGCCACTGAAGTTCTCCTTAAGTAGAAAATATATTGATAGAGAGAATATCTGATGTGACTTGCAGTAAGAATGACTAAATCTTCTCTAATGAAAATATAATCCCTATATTTTTCATGAAACTATCATGGCCTTCATTAGCTTTATCTCAATTATTTGGGGCAGATTGGCTTTAAAAACTCTTTCACCATTCATCCTATTGAGTACTAGTAATTCGTTTAGATCTGACATTATTTTTCATCTAACTAGTCTTTCCTTTTTTTTTTTCTTTCATTGTTGTTCGGATATCTTTTAATAGTCTTTTATTACTCATCAAAGCTTATTCAGTTAATATCTTTTCATATTGTTGGATGGTTGCAATGCTTGATTTTTGCTGGACTATCATCAATTATCACACCCCCGCACCCCCCGCCCCTAAAAAAAAAAAAAAAAAACTTTACCACCTTTTTATGCTGACAGCCTAGTTACCCAATATTGCTTTGTTTCCTTTTTTTTTTCTTTATAGAATTGATTTTATCTAGAGCTAGAATAGGATCGTATTAGGGGATATTTTGTTTTTCATAGAAAAATCCTTAGCCAGAACTTGTGAATTTAAACTTTTTGGTCTAACAACTATCTGGTTTAACATGGTGTGAGGAACTAGCTATTGTACTTCAAACCCTGATCTTATTTATGCACTGGTAGGACTATCTATGAAGGGCTGTCTTTGGTAAGATAAATAGGTTTTTTCCTGAGTTGTCTAAGAATACATGATGAATTCAGCACATACTAATCTTTAAAAGATCCGTCGCTGAAATATAGAATTTCTGCTTGTAAATATTTACATGTTTCAAGGGCTCTAGAATGGAACATGACAAATTGATTTTGAATGCGCTGCTTAATTTATTCCAGAATAATGGCTAATCTTCAATGAAATTTTGTTTAAACAAAGATGAAGTGTACCGCCCAATAGGAATGGATGAAGGACATAGTAATCCAACCCTAAATAGCTGGGGTAAGGCAAATGATAAATAGATTGATTGATATGCTATTTTAAAATGGTAGTTCATGAAAGATATATCTCCCTACCTTCTTATTCTTTGCCTTCCTGGGCTATTTTGTCGATACAAGTTTCATCATTTGATAGTTAAAAGAACATAGATATAATCTTGGATATTTGAGCATGACATCTATGTGGCATGGCACATGGATGATGACAAATGCAAGCTAGAGCATGTCAGAAGATGGTTTAGTGTGTATGAAAATAGCTTGCTAAGGCTATAGTGAGTTTTTGAGCTCCTTCCAGCTGGAATTTTTAGGAACTTGTGCATGCGCGTGCTTGAAGCCATCTTTGTAATAATTTGTTTATGTTATAGCACTTTACAAGATATGTGATTGTTCGACATATGAATTTTCAGGCTGGATCTTTGCCAGTTCATGGAGTTGCTATTCCTACAATCAATGGAATCCGAAATGTACTTGTTCATATTGACGCACGACAAAATGGAAAGCAGAAGAAAGTACTTTGGCATAATCTCCGTGAAGAACCAGTAAGATTTTTGCATCCAGAGTTGAACTTTGTTTTAGGCCTATATATGATGATATTTCTTGGTCTTCGTCTTCTAAGACATTGTATTTTGAGCTTTTTGATGTTGTGCTACTTATCTTTTTTTTTTTTTTTTATATATAACTGATTTTATATTTTATTATTGTAGGTTGTATACATAAATGATCGTCCCTTTGTATTGCGAGATGTGGAAAAGCCCTTCTCCAACCTTGAGTACACGGTATTAACATAAACCTTATTTCTATGCTTTTTGAAAGCATCTAGTCATTTTATATCACAATTAGCTTCTCATAGTTGGTCCTAGTTCGTTTACTCTTGATAAAAATGATTTAAGAATATTGCCTATTTCTTCCTTGCAGTAGGAATAATAAGAATAAAGGATTTATGGAAATATTTTTCTTAACCTTACCTGAGCTTGCTGTTTAGCACAGGTTCTGGATTAGTTGTGTTTTTGTTTTGACTTTGAATAGACAAGTTTTTGTTTTGGTTTTACTTAAGTTATCTTTTGGGTTGTGGAGGCGGGGGTGCGAGCAAGTTTTGGTTTTTCAAGAGATGAGGGGGTGCTTTGGTGGGTGTTAAGATGGAAGAGTTTTCAGTTTAGCGGGAGTCACAACTACTACGGTTTTACTAGATAAGTTTACCTGCATAAATCTGATAATATTTTATTTGGTTATAACCATACATATCTTTTAACTAGCTATTACTTGTAGTCATTTAATGGGAAAAATTGCCTACCCCCATGGTTGGGATGCGGAAGATGACGATTATGATAAATTTTACTTCAAACTAGGTAATATATCCCTTAATAAAATGATTACTAATGGGAAATTTATAGTTTATACCTTAAACATAGTATGAAAGAGAATTTGACTATATCTATTTGTTCATGTCCTTGTGAATTTTGTAGGGCAATCTGAACAATTTTTATTCTGTTATTTTCATATCTTACCTTGATGAGGGGCTAACCCTTATAAATTGTCCTGGAGTTTGTCAATTGTTAATGAAAAGAATTAGCCATTTGCAATTTTGAATATTAGCTTTTTATCCGTAATATGCTTTGTTCAGGGATCAGAGCCTTCTTATTTACTCTCTCATTCTCTCCATTGAATGTAATATTTATTGCATTATGTTTTCTATTAAATTATTCATGACCTCATTTAATAGTCTTGTTTCTTCATTTGTGCTTTTTAAACCTAATCCTTTTTGCATAAAGTTTGTTTGGAATATATTTCAAAAAAGATCAAATATTTGTTAATAAATTCCTATCATTATGAAAAATAGGAATTTATCAGACAAGGTTCCGTATACTTGGGCTCTCTGGGTGATAAATTTTCTGACAAATATGAACTCCCTTAATAAATAACTTTGGCATAGAGTCCAAATCGCATATTCTATGTATACACCTAGGGATGATGGACTACTAGCCTTTGATCCATAAACTTAAGCCTATAATTAAGAAGATTGTAAAACCCGAAAATATCGATCGTAAGCGTTGCACGTATTTCATCGCATTGCGACGAAAATAGACGAATTTTCAAAGTTGTTAGAATTTGACAAAATAATTTTTATAAAATTCTATGCGAAATTTTGATCGTTTTGATATAAAAATTTATATTTAATTTCACAGGGATTTAAAGTTAAAAATCGACGAAGTTTATTAATGACAAAAAAACTAAATAGCCCTCATAATAAGAACCTTTGGCTAGTTGGGGCACATGCATCATTTGCCCCCGCTGCCCAAGGAGGAGTGTAAAAGGGGGACCGAACCAGTTCCCTTTCACGCGTGTGTGCGGCCGAATGAAGAAGAGGAGGAGGAAGGGGCGGCGGCAAGGGCTCCTAGGCAGCGGCTGCTTTTCGGCAAGATTTAAAGGGGAATTGTTGGAGAAGGCCTTAGGTAACTTCTAAACTCTAAATCCCTCTTTCTTTCTCAAAATTTATGAGATCTAAAATTAAGTTTTTCTCCTATTTCAATTTTCTTTCAAATTGCTTTCACGAAAATGATTTTTATGGGTTTAAACTAAACTTTCATGAAAAATTTTCAAGTTTTAAAAATTAGGGTTTTTCCAAATTTCAATTTTCAAGAAAGTGCTTTCACAAATAACATTCCTAATAGCCTTAGGAATGTTTCTTTTAGGATAAAATTAGGGTTTAGAACAATTTTTCATTTTTCCTAAATTTTTATTAATAGAAAGTCCAAATTTTTTTATGTTTATGATACGCCCTAGGGTTTCACAATTTTGGTTTTGCCCTAATTTCCCCCAACAGAGAGGAATTTCTCCACCAAAATCAAGAGAAACAATCACAAGAGAGTTGGGATGAAAGACAATAACCTTTGCATTAGAAAGCAAATAGAAAACAAAATAAGTTTGTCCACTTCGAGAAGGACAAGATCTCCCACAAGAAAATCCTAGAAAAAAACAAGAAGAAGACTAGGAGAAGAAAACTAGAAAGAGACTTCCCTTTTCATCATCCCCAAAACTAAACCCTAATGGCCCTATTCATACCATCCCCAAAATTCCTCCCATCCCCAAATTACCCCCACTTAAGTGGGTGGGTCCCTTTGGTCCAGCCGGTCCGCCCGGCCCCCTCTCTTCCGCCTATAGACCTGCACGGGTCCAGGCCGGACCGGGTGAACCGGTCCATCAGTTTATTTATTAATTAGGTTAAGAGAAATGTTTTAACATGCAAATGTAAGGAAAATAGGGAAAATTTGGGTTCCAAAATTAGGGCTTTAAGATAAAACAAAAAATTTAAGCTATTTGAAATTAATTTAGGAATTGGTAAAGGGTTAAAATAGGTAAATTATGATTTTAAACAAAAAATATGAATTTTTAAAATTTAAGATATAATTAAATCCGAAAATAATTATCTTATAATGATGATTATAATTAAGGAGGATTTATGTTAATGACAAATAATGACATGTTAATGAAGGGTTTATGTTAATGATAAATAACAATTGATAAATATTATAATGACATTCATGTATGTCTTAATGCTAATGACAATTAAGAATTATGATTAATGTTAAACTACATGACTTGTTCTTTTAATAAACAAGATTTAAGGTTCATATGGGATGATCGAAGTTACACTATTTGTAGGATTTCAAAGTGGGAGAGGAAAGGCATTGAAAGAAAATGATAAATTTCACACATCTGTTATGTAGGTTTATTTAATTCTTCAAATTCAATGTTCTTTTAAAGTTAAATGCATTGTGATACATTTTAGTATCAGAATAGTATGTTAATTCTTTTATTTGGCATATTAAAAGTAATTATTTGTTGACCCTTCTCTGTAAAAAAAAAAAGAAAAGAAAAAAAAAATAAATCAAATCTTACCTGCTCCCCTGTCGCAGCACGTCGCACAACCTACGCACGTCGTCGCCTCTCCTCGCACGACCGAGCGTCGCGTCTCGCACGACTCGGTCGAGTCGTTAAAAAGCCAAAGAGAATGAGGCCGAAGGCCTCCGCACTCTCTTCCTCGCATTCGATTCTCTCCCTGGCTTTCTCCCGATCTCGCTGCCCCTCCGATCGCTGGTTCTCCCTTCTCCCAAACAAGCTCTCGGCCCTTACTCCGGCTCCCTCTCCCGAGTCCACTTCCTCTCCCTCTCTCGTCGCTGACTACGCTCGCTCGATCGACGACTTTCCTTTCTCGGTCGGATCGGATCGGAAGAAAGACAGGAGCTCGAGGGTTGTGAGGGTAACTTTTTCCCTTTCGCGGCTTCGTCGGCACTTCGGTGGCTGTCCGACCCCGCTCGATCGACGACTTCCCTTCCTCTTCGACCGGAAGTCACGACACTTCCGATCGGAAGCAAGAACGAGGGCTCGCGGACATTGAAGGTAACTCTCTCCATTGCGCACGCTTCTTTAGCTCCTTCGTGGCCAGCCGACTTCGCTCCTCCTTCGACGCCGTCCCTGCTTGCCAGATCGGGAGGGGTAATTAACTATAGGAGCTTGCGCCTATAGGAAACCAGAACTCAGATCATAAAGTCCTCGCAAAATGAGGGCGAAATCTCTGGGTAGTGTCTTATCTACAAACCCATCTGCCTTCCAAAATTTACCCCGGAACTTATCCGTTAAAACTCCCTCGCCAAATAAAAAGAAATCGCGCGGCGGGGAGGCCGGGGCCGAATTTTCGGAGCCCACATTATTGTTTTGTTTAAAGTATTTAGTAAGTTAGACATTTTTATTTAAAAAAATCTTCATGTAGCTTTGCATAAGAATATGATAAAAGATACAAATGATTGTTATGTATATTTGCCACTTATCCTATGATAGTTATTGCATATGAATTTGTGCATGTTGAGGCGAAGTATCAATATGGTGCCTTGGCACAATATAATTTTTTGGAGTAATATGGCTCTTCGGGGTAATATGATAAAGGAAAATGATATGACCAATAAATATGTGTATCTGATCAGTACAATTTTGGTATTCCGATACGGGTGTATAGAATACAGATAAGATAAATATATGTGTACAAGAAATAAAGACAAGTTGAAATGCATGAAATGAAAGAAGTATTAATCTTATGAAATGTAAAATGATCATATAAATTCATAAATAGATAGGTGCACGGCTATCTTTGCATGATATTATATTGTTTACTTCTTTAGTTACTTGTTGCTCAGCCTCATATTAAAGTATGCATATTGATCTTCATTACATTGTAATTGAGTTTAGTAGAGTTACTTGTTAGCTACTGAGTGTAGCTCACTCCCTAGTTTTAGGATGTTTTTAAGAGAACCACTATTTAAGGATGGCGGATAGACAACAATATACCTACCTGCGTAGGGTTACCATGGGAGACAGGCTCTTTTGTTGAATGTATTTTTGATATTTCTTTTTGTTGTGGATCTTGCATGTCTAGTTATGATCCACATGTTTAAATTTCTTATGTTATAATAAAATTTTTGTGTTTTGAAAGTTTTAATGGGTTTTTATAATTGTTTTGGATGTTAGATAAGTTAATTTTTATGTGATGATATCTGAATTATGTTTTAAATTTTCGTCCGATATCTGTTTCCGCCTCATTTGCTCGAGCTTACCCTGCCGGGCCGTGACAAAGATCCTCTCCAATATGTTATGAATAGGAAATTACTTTGATAGGGGATTTTATGCCATCTAATATTAAACTGTTAGTAACAAATTTTTTTGACAAATATGGACATTATATACTTGAAAAAATGAAGGAAAAAAAAATGAAATTGTTTCAAGC